CTAAACATTCAGAATTCTAAAATACGTCTCTCTCCATTATTTCTCTCCACTTGAGAAAACTCGATTTATGCAAGGTAGACTGTCGATCTTTCTTCCTGATCAAATAATGCAAACAATTAATTGAATTTGCAAATGATCCCAAGAATATGATCTAACTAAGGGGACAATCTTTCCTTTAAATACTGATACAAAACTCAATAAAGTAAAAAATTATATCACTCTTTCAAAAACTTCAATTGACTGCACATAATGAGAAGCACAAGGGACTAGCATTGTAGATTGGCTTGTAAAAACAAATGATTGCAACATTGGAGGCTCGAATGAGACCGATAAGGAAATTATGTGAATGATTCAAAAAAATTTCTTAACGTATTTAGGAAGCCAGGTTAAAGAAACATGCAAAATAGCACCGTTAAACTCTGAAACAAAAGCAAGCTCATAACTTTCATTAGAGTTTTATCTTAACATGAAAATTAGGAAATGGGATAGGAGAGGTTCGAGCTAACAAAATATGACGGTATAATGTAGGCAACAATTGAATGTCGATATGAAAAGTATGCAATAAAAAATGGCCTTGGAAAACGTGGCAACTCGGGGAGCATTATGCAGTTGAGGTAAGGTCACAACGAAGTCAATGTTAAAAGTCTCACAAAGGAGTAAGCAATAATAATTTCGGTACAAGATTGAGGAAACGTGGAATGTTTGGCTTAGATGACAACGCTATTAGTAATTCCCTACGTCGTGTTGAGTGTATTGACTAATGAAAGGAGACAATACACTGCTCTAAACTCTTAACCTCTTTGTTAAGGGGGGAGACAACTGTATTATAATAATCGAAACAAACCTTTAAAGATTTATAGATTGTGACAGAAAGGATTTGCCAGTCAGTGCACTTCTCAAAAAGTCATTCCACCACATTTATTGCAACAAGGAAAACTTCCTTATTCTTTTTTTATACTATCCTTTTTCCTCGAGAGAGATTGCCATTTTAATAGCTCATTGGATATCAATGTTCTTAAAAGTGTATAAAGAGATGCGAGTATGAAAACATGTGATTGGTCTACTTGTGAGAGCAACCCTCAATGTGTTCAAGTAAAAGTAGGAGTTCATTAAAAGATAACAAAGGTCGAGGAAGAAGCTTTTTCATTTGTCAACAATTGTACTCCTAACTTTTGATAAGTACGCCACAACATTTTGAGATGTACTTTTTTTTTAAAAAAATTGACTGAAACAAAGTAATTGAAATAAATTTTTTTTGTGAAAATTTAACAAACTAGAACACCAAAATGAAAGTACGTCTTCAACAAAAAAATTGCTACCCCATAAGATTTAAAAGAGCCAAATAATGTCCAAATTATCTTGAAGTTGACATGGATACAGTGGCGTACACAGGTAATGGTGGGCTACTGCATTGAATTCTTCTAAGTGGTTGATTCAATCAACAGAAACAAAATAAATCACAGATTCTGCAAACAATAGATTTTTTTCTGCGGATGAGTAGTACCCATGAATAGTACGATAACAATTTTTCCCCATTTTTTTGATTTTTATTTATTTATTTATTTATTTTATTATTATTATTATTTTGTTTGGAACGAAACTTAAAAAGAAAAACTGGGAACAAGTTATAGTGCTACTTGAATTTGTGTATGATGGTGGCTTTGTTATTTTTGTATATAGTTTGGAAGTTTTGGGGTTATGATGCACCGATACGGACACGTGTCGGATACGTCGACACGCGATTTTTAAAAAAAGTACAGACACGACACGTCATCGATACGTTGATTATATTCTTAAAAATTCTTCATTTATATAGTATAAATTTAGTTTTATACTTATTAATTTTTTTTATTGAAATTTTTTAAACATGAGTAATATAGTAAACATTTAATTTTATACTTGTTATTAAGTTTTCTTGTTTAATTCTTTTAAACATGAGTACCTATTTGTTACTTGTTAATAATTTTAAATTAACAATATATAATATTTTTAATATAAAAAGAAAAATGATTACGATAGAGTGTCCGAGAAGTGTCGGTATCGACTCGTGTCCGACATGTGTCAGACACGGACACGCTACTCTAATTGAAGTATCCGTGCTACAGAGTGGGGTGGTGATTGCCTGATTGGTTAAGGTTTGTGAATTTTTGGATTTAAGAATGAAAGATATTTGATCAAAGGAGAATGACTTATGATGGATGTACGGACACAATTTGACAACGAACAAGAAAATGAACTAGAAAAGAATGAGGTTCAAAGAAGAGAAGCAATTGGAGCAAGGAGGAAATCAATTTATTCATATAATCAAGGATACCTATTATAATTAATGAACCCTTTATTTATAGAACAAAGAAACTAAAAAGAAGCTAAAATCGAACGAACTTCTACTAAACTAGAACTTAATCAAAATATTAAAATCAATATAATCTAAATTAAAATTGAGCTGTATTTTAAAATCATATCTAAACTATGTCTCCATCTCCATCACCTTACCTCTAGGTTTAGAGAATAGATCCAATGTATAGATATATCAAAGCCATAAATAGGGAGTGCCACTTACGTTGAAAGCATATAAGCTTACGCTGTCCTTCAAAAACTTTGATACATTTGAAAGCTTTAAGGTTTTACAGCATAATTGAAGGAAAAGGAAAGGCAGTTTATGTTTTGAATTCTAGCATTCACAGTGATCTATGATATATTCCAAGCCACAGAAGAATGATATCTACCTTATGTCAAAGCATGTCTGCATGTGGTTACACAAGAAAATTAATAGAAGCAACATAAAATAAGCAATGCTGGCATCAAGGAGTTAATGAGAATGAGATAACTGATGTTTGCTCATTTTGGAACATGCAGATTCAATTCCTAGAACTAGAAATGCATTATAGAGAACCTCTGAAAGTAAATGGATAGGCACTTCTGGATATATATTATATCAGGTTATTATATTGATTGATTTGTTTGTGCAAGCAGTAGGAACTTGGGTCAAACATTCTATTTTACATCTTCCTTGCTTCCATCTAGAAATGGTCAGTTTTACGTTGTTTAACTCTATACTTGTTTAGAACAAATTTTTTTTTTAGCAATTTCTTGGTTGAGTTCTCCTTTTCTTCTCTTGCTTTGCGGTTTGACTTATTTTAATCATGCATAGCTTGTGGAGTGTCCATCTATTTATGAGATGCTGCCGAACATTGATTTCAATTGGAAAAAGAAACCTGAGATTCTGATATGGCGAAAGCAATCCAAGGATGGAGAAACGTCAGTTGAACTGGAATCTTATGGCCCTGAGGAAAGTGTGACTCTTTTTGAAGAAGCATTAAAAAATAACGAGGTAATCCCTTTTTAACTTCATTTAGAAGAAAAAATTGTGATTTTTGAACAGTTCAGGTTTGGTTTTATGTTTATAATCCTTGCTATTAGCTTGTGAATGATATAGCTTGGTGTTGGTTTGGGAAACAATTAGTTTTTCCTTTATCAGTTCATGATTCCACAAGTGAATGGATCTGAAATACTGAGTGAAATGCTTGAATTAGGATTTATCTTCTTCTATTTTGGTACCAAAGTACCTTGTTTTCCATCTTTCCAATTCTATATTAGTATTTTCTTGTAGAAAATGATGAGATGAAACTATAGGTGGGTTGTGACCATGAAGATGATTGGATGAATCTGCATGCTTGCACCTTCCAATGTTTTTACAACATATTCTATCCCAGATTCTACAATATGGCTAGGACATAGTTACGGGAATTTTTCTTCCAACTCTTTTGTAAAGCATTTGGCGGCTTAATGATTTTTCGCTTCATCAGGGTAAGGAATAAGTGATCTGGAATGCTAAACATTCTCTCTAAGATCAAAGCTTGGTCTCGGACTTTGTTTCTTAATAAATTGATATCAGTGATTGCATACAAGATTATCCCATGAAGCTTTTAGTCTAGACATTTATTTCATCTGCGTTTTTCCATTGAGTCAAGCGATCACATCTTTCAGTGCTAGAGAGGAAGCTCGGGAAAATCTGTTTACTCAATTGTCAGAAGTTTCTTGTTCAGCTACAATACAAGTTGCCTTTCTTTCTTCTGTGCGGGGAGGTTTCATTATAGAGTTTCACGAGGATTGAAGATCTGGTCTCTTGGTCTTCTTTTTTTCTTCTATAAAGGGTATTCTAGGAGAGTAACCTTGAAGTATTTTTGCTAAAATATGACCAGATACACTAGTTTTATCTATTTGATCATTTTAGTTTCCTTAAATTGTGTTGTTTCACTATTATCTTATTTTGATTTTGCATGGTAGTACTTTTGGGACATTTACATATCGGCATATCCTGTCATAATTTTACAATCTTTATTTTGGTAACAATCTTCTTTTAATTTGCAGCTAAGTTACAATGGAAAAACCGTCCCTCTACCTTTTAACTCGGCAATTCTTAAATGGGCTGCTGGTACTCGCGAAATTCTCAATAAAACTCAAGTTCCGAAAGGGATATCATTTTACAACATCTACGGGATATCTTTTGACACACCTTTTGATGTTTGGTATGTGGCTAAATTACCTCTCTCATTTGAAGCTCCATGAGATTCAAAACTGTTACTTAAAAAGTTTACTTTTTATATAGAGAAGTGGTATGATTCACACAATCAAGTTCTTTAATAGGGCTTTCAGTAAGGTAGTAAACGACTAAGTGTAAAGAGAAGATGATGCCAGAAGGAAGACAAGGTTCAAAATCAAGGCAAATATTGCACCAAGAAACTCCCATCCATAACAATTGAGAATAGTGAACAATGAAGAAATAAAAATACTATTGGTCTGCCTACCCTTTGACTAAAGACTATATACATATAATAAACCCAATTCAAAGAGATTAAATCTCTGCCTTAGCCTTAACTGAGGTCAAGCAATCCAAAATCAAAGAAATGTTGGACAAAACACAGTGTAGAATATCACTATAGTAGTGTGAACAGTCCCTTTTACTACTGTTAACTGTAATTGTTTCAGAAATAAATAAAACAGATAAACTCAGATATATTAAAAAATTAGCTTGCATCAATCGGCCAGACCTGAATATTTACTTTTTGCCAGGACCTCTTATTCGATCAAGTTTAAAGGAACGGTTTCTCATTCTTCCTGTTTTCACAGTTCCTTAGTCCATTTATGTGTTGATATAATGAGCATGGTTATACTTCTGAAATATAAGGGAAAGAATTGATCTCAATTTCAGCCACCTTAAAATACCTCATGACTTGTGCTGAAACCAGGTTAAGAGATTTCTGCTGCTTTGGAAGTGTGAAATGTATCTAGTATCTAGATGTGTTTGAGCCCCCTTTTTTTAAAGAATAGGTTTCGTAATAGTGATTTTGGGAGAATGTGTGGTTAAAAAGTAGGGAAAAGTATTGGGTTTACGTGAAATTATTTTATTGAAAGAATGTGATTGAAAATGAGTTTTTATAGAATGGGGGTCAACCATTGGCTCAAAATGCACATGCTAATTGGATTTAAATGCCTTGAAACAACAGGGCCAAACTTGTATATTTCTGTTCTTTTTGCCTGCACTGATGTAGTCTTAATCTCATCATAAAATATAGACCAGAAGAACCAAATATTACAAAATGTGTTAGTGTATGGTACCTTTTGTATATTGTAAGTGGGTTTCTAATTAATCATGTCCCTGCTAACCTTATTAGCTAAGAATGTGCTGCTTGTGCAATACTTCCGCAAAATTCTTCATCAAATTTCCAGTTTGTAGCTGAGAAATCCATGTGAGAAACTAATTCGTCATTGATTAGCTGCTGGTAGTTGGAATTATCTGGAAGAGATCCTATTTTGTGTTTTTAATTTTATTTCTTTACGGTTTTCTTCAGCTTCTTAAACTTTCAAATGTAAACACAGTTTTCACTGTGAATGAAATGCCACCCAACATTGATATAACATGCTTTAATATTGTTATTTTGTTCTGTGTGTTCAATATAGCAGATCATTTGTCCACAATACACACACCTCTTGCACTGAACTTCATTAATAATTTAAATCATGAGCACAACTAATGTGTACGTGTTTATCCTGCTTGCAGCTATGGTTCAGAATCTTCTCCGATCGACGAGCTATCTGAGATATGCCATTCAGATGTAAGTAACTTGAATTAATTATGTCATTTGAATACATGTATGCATAGTTTGTATTTGAGGTGCTCCTTCCATTTCTATATTAATCCCCATATAATAGTAGATGATGTGCACACTATATGTACTCGTCTTGTTCTATGCTTTATCAAATAGAAGTATATGATTAAATTCAACTCCATAAACCATCATTACGTAACAGCATCAGTGACTACTGGCCATGCATATGTACTAATTATATTAATAAACTCGAGCTTTATTTATCCTGAAGCTCTGGAAGATCCATTCTCCCCACGTCCAAACATGAATATATTAGTACTCATTTGGTGTATGTCTTATTGTGTTTCAGCCTGAATACTCTTTTGTGGATGGTGATGGAACTGTCCCTTCCGAATCAGCAAAGGTAGAAATATCTCCACTTTTCGAATTGATTTTCTATCTAATTTGACAGGTAGTCTACAACATGATTTTTAGACATCTCTCTATACAAGTCTCCCTCAGTTGTTTATTAAACAGAATTCTAATATTACACAGAGTGAAGTTCACACAAAAGGCATGCGGGAGTTTTAAACAGTAGCTTCAAGTTGCCTATACGCTATTTTTCTTCAATTTTGGGACTTGGGTTGCGACCTATATGGCTCTTGCATCACTGCTATACGCGATGATAATCAAATTGATCTCTGAGCATTTTTTGTATGAGCCCCCATTTTTTTTTCTGAAATATCTTTTAATCCATTATGCAGGCAGATAATCTTGATCCAGTCGAACGTGTAGGGGTTTCTGGCAGTCACCGGGGACTATTGAACAACGATAAAGTATTTGAGCTTATCCAGAACTGGTTAGGAGTTTCTTCGAAGGACAAGAAGCATTTGAAGACCTCTAAGGTGATGGATGTACATTATTGTCGACCAGTCGAAGCAAAAAACTCTTCCCTGTATTGATTATGTTAATAGTATTGTATTCAGTCTTTTTATTTGGATGTACTTAGTAAGATACGTATGCCATTTCAGTACTCATATTTGAAAGGTCCATTTTGTGCTCTTACAAATCTGTGACATCCTCATGTGGACCTTAGCACTGAAGCCCATGATTTATTGGGTTCAAATGCCAACTGAACGAACTAGTTGGCCAAGTTTCAGGGTAATTTACATAAATAGGGCAAAATAGGAGAGTAAATTGATCATTCGACATGGCTTTTGATATATGACTTTTCAACCAAGAAAGAGCCGAAAATGAACAAACAACAGATGTTATGATGGAACAAGGGTGTGTGTCGGAATTCTTTAAAATCTGGGGTTTTACATACAGTCGGCGCGGAAGAGGAGGCTGGACTCGATTATTGTAAGTGATTAGAGGATATGATACATTAGTAGGCGAAGAAGGCGAACATTGTTAGAAAGGTGGTGCTGGCTCTTTCTATTATAGAATTTGCTGAGAATTATGAACTTTTATTTTACCGAGTAATTAACTCAAAGAAAGAAAAATAAATATTTAAGAACACACAAGATTTATTGAGGTTCGTTTCAATGTAAGATTACGTTCTTAGATCATTGCAGTAATTTAATATGATGGAAAAAAAGTTTGCAAGAGAAATTCTCTATCCTATCTTTTCTAGCGTCATCTTTTTTGATGATAATAACAATAATAAAAAATAAAAATAAAAATCTAAGGATGACTCTCTATTTATAAGAAAAATGTGTGCAAAATCGAATTTTACAATTACTTCAATTTCTCAATTAGAATTTTACAATAATTAGAATTGATAATAATTAGGCTCAACAATTTAAAATCTCCCACTTGGGGAATAATTCACCATCAATAACTCCTCTACAGTGACAATAACTCCTCATTCCTTAAAAGAAAAGTCCAACTGGAGTTGCACACAACTTCAATTTCTCGATCGAAACAATGTTCGTTAATAGCTGAATTTTGACTTCCCTGAATCTTCTAAAATGTTAAGATTCCATTCTCCAAATTCGATTGGAGTGAAATAACAACGAACTTGTATATGCTTTGTACTTGCATGATAAACAGGATTCTTAAGTGAATAACGTTCTAATTGGTCATAATAAAATACACGTTTTCCATACTTGTGACCTAATTCTTTTTATAAAAAAAAAGACCGCAACCATTTCATTTCTTTGCTAGCTTCAATTACAGCAACATACTTAGTCTCAATAGTGGAAAGGGCAATTATTTTCTGCAACTTTGACACCCAACTAACTATTGTACCACCCAAAGCATATACATATTCGTATTATTCTTCCGCCATCAATGTCTTTTGCCATGTTAGCGTCTACGTAGCCATATAATCCCAAACTTGATTTTCTGAAACATAATGCTAAATCTAAAGTAACTATCAAGTATATGAGAATCCACTTTAGTGCTTCCCAATAGTGTTTGCCTAGATTGCTCATATATCTACTGGCAACTCCTCATTGTATGTGCTATGTTCGGTCTTGTATACACCATGACATATATAAGACTGTTAATAGCAGAGGCATGAGGCACCTTGGCCATGTAGACTCGATCCTCTTTATAGAGGTTGATTACCCATTTGATAGTCTAAAGTAACTAGTAAAAAGAGTACTAACTGGTTTTGCATCATCCATGTTGAACTTGGAAGACGTCATTGTCGCTAATAATTCTCATCCCAAAGATTTGTTTTGCAATACCCAAGTTCTTCATTGCAACCTCCTTAGATAATTTATTTTTCAACTTATCTATTTCTTATTTGCAAGCACCTACAATCAACATGTCATCCATATAAGAGCAAGATAATATGATTTACCAATGTTCTTTACAATAACAAGAATAATTCCCCCAACACCTTCTTAAGCCATTACTGCTAGCAAAACTATCAAACTTCTTATACCATTGTCTTGAAACTTGTTTAAGACCTTATAAACTTGTTAAAAGTCTGCACACCATTTTTTTCCTTTTCGGTACTTCAAAACCTTGTAGCTACATCAAGTGAATTTCTTTTTCCAAATCATCATCAAGAAATACCGTCTTTACATCTAACTGCTCTAAATGTAAGTCTTCATTTACGATTAATCTAAGTACTGTTCTAATTGTGTTAATTTTACCATAGGAGAGAGAATCTCAATGTAGTCAATGCATTTTTCTGTTGAAATCCATTTACAACCAGTCTTGCTTTATATCGCTTGCTTCATTCATGTTCTTTTAACCAATAAACCTATTTATTTTGCGAAACTTTCTTTCCTTTTGACAACTCTATTAATTTCCATGTTTGATTGGACAATAATGAGTCCATCTCATCCCTAATAGCTAAACCCTACTTGATTTATTCGTCAACATGTACAACTTTATTATAACTTTCTGGTTCACCACTTTTAGTTAATAGAATATAATGCAACGCTGGAGAATATCTCTGCGGAGGTCTAGCAGTTTTGCTGGATCTTTTAGGTTGAGTCACATGGGTGTTCCCATGTACATCTGGAACTATATTTTCTTGATTTTCACCATCAGTATAAGATCTTCCAATGTGATCACTTCAGGTTTCTAAACTTTAGGACTTGAGTCTTTAGGGTTTGTTCCCAACATGTCCTTATACAAGATACTTTTATTAAAGATCACATCATTACTCTTGATAACTTTTCGAGTTTGATCATTTCAGAAACGACAACCAAACTCGTTACCATCATACTCAATAGAGAAATACATTTTTGATTTAGCATCAAGCTTGCTTCTTGTAGTAGAACCAATATGAATGTTAAACACAACCAACACATTCAATCTGAAAGTTTTATCACTCTACTGCTCTAAACTTCCTCTCGTATTCTGTAGTTCAATGGTGTTGAATGACCTCTGTTGATCACATAAGTTGCACTGCTGATAGCCTCAGTCCAAAACATCTTTGGTAACCCAGCATGCACTCTCATACTTTTAGCACGCTCATTTAAAGCCATATTTATCCTTTCAGTCACTCCATTTTGTTGAGATGTTCCTGGAGTGGTCTTCTTCATCTTGATTCCACTATCAATATAATACTTTTTGAAATCATCATCTATATAGTCTCTCCCATTATCTAACATAAAACACTTTACCTTCAAATCTGTTTCATTTTTAACCATCGCTTTCCATCTCTTGAAGGCATAAAAAACATCATATTTATTCTTTAGAAAATAGATATACATTCCTTCTTGAGTCATCAATAATTGAAAATAATAATTGGAACCTCCAAGTAAAGTAACATTGAAGGTCCCCATACATCCGTATGAATCAGCTCCAATTTTGTAGTTTTTGGCTCCCTTCCGATTTTAGAAAAACTAACTCTTTTCTACTTGTCGAAAATACAGCCTTCACAAAAACTGTGTTCAATAGATTTCAATCTCGATAACTTCCCTTTAGACTGAAGTACTTTCATTCACTTCTCACTTATGTGTCTTAGCTTACAATGCTACAAATTAGAACTAACAATTGAATCAACAACCGTAGCCCCATGTCTCTACAATTAGAAGTGATATAAAGGTTCCAGATTTATTTCTTTGAGCAACGACCATGGGTACCTCAATAACTTTTCAAGCACCAGCACTAAAAGTCATATTATGACCTTTATTATTAAGTTGTCCAACTAAGATTAGATTAAACATAAGTTAAAGTATATGCTTGCTCGTGCTGAATCAACAACCGTAGCCATGTCTCTACAATTAGAAGGTGATATAATGGTTCCAAATTTATTTCCTTGAGCAACGACCATGGCTACCTTAATAACTTTTCAAGCACCAGCACTAAAAGTCACATTATGACCTTTATTATTAAGTTGTCCAACTAAGATCAGATTAAGCATCCGTTTTAAGTATATGCTTGCTCGTGTGATTCCGCAAGTATACTGATCGTGAGAAGTAAAAAAAATTGAATTTTTGTGTCGAAGTATCCTTCCCACAGAGACTATTATTTACTATTGATTTTTAACTAACCTAACTTCAATTTAAATTAAAATGGTAACCCATTATCAAATCAATTGTGTTTTCTAACTAAAGTTTTACTAAATTAAATAAGGAAATCAAATTAATATGATTGAGAAAATTATGAGGTTAGGTAGCTAGGATTTTCGAATCCACTTAGGTTGTTTAACGTTCATCTAATTCCAATTCATTCAACCCCTTTTCGTACATGCCAACAATTGAATTAACCTAATGTACCCAGCAATCTCTCTCGAACAACACTAATCCTATTCATATGCTCAAATTTACTACATCTCTATGTAAATTCACACACATAAGAATGCATTAACTTATAGAAATTTTATATAGATTACATAACCTATAATTATCTCTCGATCTCTTATAATACCTATATTTTTTATTTTACAAAGTAGAATCATACATCACCATTGATCTCAGTACTATCCCTAAATCAATCAATTATTGTGCAGGCAATTGAAGCATTAACACAATAAATAATTAAGACTTATTAAAGTGGCATGAAATCTTGGAATTGAACAAAATATTAAAAACTTTTTAAGTTACATATTCATCCCAGCATAGAAATATTTAGTCACTCAAAATGTCGAAATAAAACTTGAAAGACATCATTGGTTTTAATTTCAATAAGCAAAATAAAATCAACTTCGAGTTATTGTTGATCTTCGTCACACGATATCATGTTCCTAAAAAATAGCGATAACTTACTATCAACGGTCGAACTCTCTATTATAACAAATTCACCTCCCTAAAATACAATTCATTTTGCAACTAACGATAAAAGCCACAGAGATCTAAAATTGGCCTTCTACAGTTGTTGGAATTGTCTAAAGTGACATTAATTGTACCATACAGGTCACAATTTGAAGATTACCGTCACATTATATTCGAAAAATCGGACAATTCATGAAACATATTCTAATACATCAATCGTCATTGAAATCAGTAATTTCGTATTGATCGGGTATGTCATTCTAATTCAATGAATCTCA